TTAGCTAATAACTGTAAAACATTCCAAATTGAAAATTTGGGATGTTACAGCCCGACTCCGGCCGGCGCGCCGCTCATCACCGTCGTCCCCACGGGCCTCCCCGCAGCCTCCCGCTACCTCCATCGGACGCCGCGTGCCCTGCATCGCCGAATCCGCCATCGCCCGAGCGCGTTGCCGCCGACAAGCTCGGCGCCCTGTCCATGGTCGCCTTCACATGCGACCGAGCGCCACATCGTGCTCCTAGGGTTCCCAGGGGCCCAATGCGGGCGTCCACTGCTCTCGTCGAGCCTCGTAGCCCAATCCCCGGCAACGCCCGTTTCGACCGTCCGCCCCACTCGACGCCGTCGTCGTTGCAGCCTGCCCCTGCCCGAGCTAAGGTGCAGTTGGATGTGTCGCTTCTCCCGTGTCCGAACGAGCCCGGCCGCGCTCGAAACGGCCCCCTGTGGTGCTTTTCCGACGAAATCCCGAGCCGCGCCACCGCTATCTGCATCGGCAGAGCTTCACTGCCGGCCATGCCGACGTGGCTGGCCTGGCCCCACCTCTGGGCCACTGCCAGCGGGCCCCGTTGACTGGGTTGACCCAGTCAACATGCTGACTGGGCAGCCCAGTTTCATTGACATGCGGGCCCCATGGTTTTTCTATTAATTAAAATGTTTTTATAACTAAAATTAATTAGTTAATCTATTTAGTCATTGACATGTGGGGCCCAACCACTAATTAACTCTGTTTAGCTAAATTAAACTGCTGTTAGCCCCACTATCTATGACAGGTGGGGCCCAGCTGCCAGGTTTGACCTGAACAGCCGTGGTTGACCTGTTGACCTCAGCTGACATCATGCTGGCGTCATATTCCATTTTTGTTAATCTGAATAATTCCAGAAAATACTTTAATCTTTAAAAATTCATAGAAATTAATCCGTAACTCGGATGAAAATGTTTTCTACATGAAAGTTGCTCAGAAAAACGAGGCGAACCCAAATACGCTACCCACATACCTGTCAGATGCCTCTAACTATCTGAACATGGAACATTCCCCCTCCGGTCATCTGTCTGACACAGGTCCGGAACCGGGAATACCTTCCCGATTGAATTCCCCCTTCACCTGTATCGTGCAGCACTATGTTAGAACACTCCTAGCACCGCGTATTTCCATGTTATGCCTTGTGATGCTTTGTTTGCTCTGTATTTATTATTTCTTCCCTCTCTTCTCTCCGGTAGACCCCGAGACTGATGTCGCCCCTGTGATCGACTACGTCGACGATGACACTTCTTCCTTTCAGCAGAGCTTCTAGGCACGCCCCCTTTTGATCATCCCGATATCGCCCATTTCATTCTCTCATGCTTGCATTAGATTTTGCCATTGTTATTGTTTGCTCCTATTCTGATGCATAGCCTGCTTTTGTAACCTGCTTATTGTTACCTTACCTGCTTATCCTAAACTGCTTAGTATAGGCTGGTTAGTGATCCATAGGTGACCCCCACCTTGTCCTTGTTGCCCCTGCTTCATCATCGAAGACCCGTTCAACGGGATCAAAGACCAGAGCCCGACACCTCACATCACTTCATGCCCCTTTTGTTGCTTGACTCTATAGAGTTACCATCGAGCGCCGAGGGTGGAACCTCATACATCACTCCTGATGAGATCTCTGTAGTGTAGCTATCCGGTCATGGTCATCGAGGGCGATTTCCTCCTCAACCACTTCCGATACGGCTCTGTCGTGCAACCCCTCAAGTGTGAACCTCGAGGGTGTATCCTCTTACGTTCACCTTGATGATTACATCGAGTGGAATTCACCGAGGGTGATTCCTCGGGTTTTCCTTTTGGTGTTAGACACACAGTTACTATGGTTACTATGAATTTACACTAAACCATGTTACTAAAGACGGGTCGGCCCTGAGGGGTACCCGCGCGAGCTTAAATTGCGAGTGATGAGGAGTCGGGTTGACCTGGAAGGTGCCCGCGAGATTCTTACGAGGCGTAGTCGGGCATTCTTAGCCCTTGCCGCAAGTCCTCAAGACGGGGCGACGGGGTCACATGTTTCATGAGTCTCTGCTTGTTACCGCGCGTTCCTAATCCACTATGATTTGGATATTTGATCCGAGGGGCCTCTGGCCTGATAGCACTAACCATCACGTGGGCATTGTATGGGCGTTCTGCGTCGTATGCATCAGCCGAAGCTTATTAGACATCAGCGACTGAGCGGCACGCGCCGGGTTGGACTGAGTGGCACGCGCCTTCTCAAAGGAGGTAGCTAGGTCTGCTCACCGGCCACATTCGCAACGTGCAGGAGTTCCCGGGGCAATGGCCGATGACCCCTGGGGGCATAGGTTTAGTCCGGCGTGCTGACCTGTCTATTAAGCCTAGGTCAGGTTGCGGCGTATTGTTTGGCCGAGGCCGGGCATGACCCAGGAAAGTGTGTCCGGCCGGAGTTAATCGAGCGTGGTGGGTAAGTTGGTGCACCCCTACAGGGAAGAAAACATCTATCGATAGCCTGTCCTATGGTAACGGACTCTTGGAGTTGTATCCCGATCGATACAATTAGAATTGGATACTTGAGATGAGACATGGATATGAAAAATGGATGGTATGGCTCTGGGATTGCTTTCTCGCAGGGAGTCGAGAAAGGATCTCTGGCTGAGGTTGATAACACACTACTACTACTACTACTACTACTACTACTACTACTACTACTACTACTTTACTTTATGCTACTCTACTCCCTACTACTACTACTACTACTACTACTACTACTACTACTACTACTACTACTACTAGGCCTTTTGTCTATTCTGGCATTTCTGCAGCCCAGTCCACATATAAAACCCTTCCTTTGATACTGTTGCATATTTTAGTGTAGATCCTTGCTTGCGAGTACTTTGGATGAGTACTCACGGTTGCTTTGATCCCTCTTTTTCCCCTTTTCCTTTATTTCCGGATGTTGCAACCAGTTGATGGAGCCCAGGATCCAGACGACACCATCGACGGCTACTACTACCCCGAGGGTGCCTACTACTACGTGGAGGCCGCCGACGACCAGGAGTAGTTAGGAGGCTCCTAGGTAGGAGGCCTTGCCTTTTCGATCGTTGTTGATTTTGTGCTAGCCTTCTTAAGGCAAACTTGTCTAACTTATGTCTGTACTCAGATATTGTTGCTTCCGCTAACTCTTATGTATTCAAGCTTATGTATTCGAGCCCTCAAGGCCCCTGGCTTGTAATATAAAGCTTGTATTTTTTTATTTGGTGTCTAGAGTTGTGTTGTGATATCTTCCCGTGAGTCCCTGATCTTGATCGTACACATTTGCGTGTATGATTAGTGTACGATTGAATCAGGGGCGTCACAATTGGATGGGACAGGCACTGACCCACCGCTTGCCGGCTCGTGCCCGGTCGACCAAAGGGCTAGCCGGAATGAGGGGTGCTTGCTGCCTCAATGTTCTAGAAATTGCTCAGTGTTTGGCGCACCTATCCCGGGGGTTATCCTCCCGACAGATGGAGAACCATCTCTTGTGTTAGGGTTCCCCTCTTAGCCACCAGTGTTTCTGGCAGCCTTAGGTTCCTCTTAATTTGCAGCAAAACTCCCTATTTCTTCCAATAAAGTTGACTAGTTCGAGTTAAATCCGATTTCTATTTTTCAGACCAATTCGAGTCTGACAATTATGTTGCTTGATTTAACTAATTATGTTGCTTGATTTTACTATGTGTGAGAAGAAGACTAGGTTATAACTATTTAAATATCTTTCCTCCTCCCCAAGAAAAGTCTCCTTCCTCCTATTGTTGGCGTCGTCGCGGATCCGTCCTGCCTCCAATGGCCTTTGGCCTGTGGAGGTGCGGAGGATCTCGGCCTCCCGCCGGTGGGAGGGACCCTGCTCTTGTTTTTGCTAGGTTGACCAGGCTGCGTGGTGTCGGCGATGTCCCTCGATAACAATAATGTCTCCCACGTCCTATCCCCGTCCCGATGGTGCGAATAACATTGTCGGAGGATGTGTGGAGGTGTGTCTCCGTCGGATCTCATGGGATTCGGTCGGTGCTGGTCTGCGGTGGATCTATTTGGATCCTGTTTTTGTTCGTCTTCATTTGTGTGGTTCCAGGTTTGATCTTTCCAATCTACGACTCTCTTCATCAGCGATGATTGTTGCTCCAGTGTGGTGGTTCTTTGGGGCCTTAGCACGACGACTTCCCGACTATCTACTATAACAAGGTTTGCCCGGCTCCTGTGATGGAGGGGCGATGACGGCGGCGCGCCTTTGGCTCGCTCCAGTGCTTGTAGTCGTCGCTAGGTGGTCCATAGACCTGGTTGTAATTTTTATTACCTCTTGTGTTCTCTGTGCTGCCATGATTGATGAATAGATTGGAAATTTCTCTCGCAAAAAAAACTATGTGTGAGAAGGCAGTACTTTATGCAAATGTGAGGCATTTCATTGATATTTCAAGTCTACATATGCAACATCTAAAATATGGGTTTTTTCTTTTCCAAATTGGTCATTGATGCGGTAATTAATTTACAGATCAGTGTTTTACGATGAATTAGCATATAGTCAAGCCCTCAGGGATGTTACATACAATTCCTACCAAACCCACAGTTTTGGTTGCTCCAACCAAACAACCTCCAGCTTTTCCCCAGCTCACAGCTGCTGCTTTCCCACATATCCTAGTAGCCTTTTCATAATCTACAGATAAACCAGGCACAGCCTAAGCCGGTTTGGGCAAGGGTAGATTTCCCTTTAACTAATCATGCTTACTTAGGTTATAACACATGGAAAGTGCCCCAGCTCCTGGGGGCAGTCTTCCATATTCGCATGTTCATGTCAGTACACAATAGATGATACAGGTAGGTCATCGTTGGCTTCAGATTTCACAGTGATTATTGACAGCAGGCTGCAAGCATTTGATGTTAAACTCCTAACTGCACCAAGAAAAAACAATACTCTTGCAGCCTCAACCCGAAAGCTGGCATGAAAGAAGTCAAGTTTCGGATTTCCATCAGACGTACGGTTTGTAATCTCACCTAGGTTTCCTTGCACGTGTTCGAACTAGGTTTTCAATCTGGAACTCATAGTCATCAGTTGAGTCATGTGGAAGCCTCATCGTCTTTACTCTAGCACACTTTGCACGCAGGGTGATGTCCATGTGGATATTGAAACAATGGCGAATGTCCAAATACTCAAGGTGAGGGCACTTATCAAGGATTGTTGCCAATCCTACGTTGGTGAGTTCGCTGCCAAACAGTTGAAGGGAGGGTAGCACAAACATTGTTGCAATCCCCAGAGCTTCCTCATCCTTGTTATACTCGATATCTTCGATGTTATAGAAGCAAGGATAGTTGACCTTCAAACATTTGAGGCGTGGACAGGCTATGCTAATACCCTCGTATACCTTCCCGAAAACATGTTTGCAAAGTGAAAGCTCAAGCTCCTCAAGCACAGGAAACTTATTAAGTGCCTCCAACAACCCTTCATTAGTGATGTACTTAGAAGATATGAAGCGAAGGCTCTTTAGAGATGGTGCCCTGGAAACAGAGAGCTTTGATGTTAATAACCCATATCCATTGTACTGTCCTGGAAGAACATCTAGCTAATAGAAGGAACGAAATAGATCAAACTTGCCGGAAAAAACATAAAGCTGCTATGTAAGCTAAGGACATACTGACTGAAGTGGGGCTAAGTGATGGTATCTGTTGAAGCAAAGAATAAAAGGAAGTTTGCTACTTCTATTTCCAGAGATAAGAGTAGCAAGCTAGCAACATGAAAGCATACAGCCAATCTAGGCAAACTTCTTTCACAAGACGATTGGCTCTTTTTTGTTTCTTCTGCAATAATGATTATTCTCTATGTCAAACAGTATAGTTCAATTATGGTACTTAAGTGCATCTTAGTTTTATTTTATATACTGATGAAGGAATCCATTTGGTTTCTGCAAGCCACTTCCAAGGGGTTCAATGGTTCTAAATTCATTTCTTGTTATATAATAGTAGTTTCTCTTTAAACTTGAATGAAAATTTCTTGTTATATAGAGCGGATTCTCTTTAAACTTGAATGCGAATCAAAGCCAGGTTTGCTTGCATCAAAGGTGGCCCTCTTGTTCGATCCGGCGAGGATACTCTCCACCAAACAGCAAGAGGTGGGGAAGGTCTCGTGCTCATGTGCTTGCCAGACTCGACGGTGAGCATGATACGGTGAGGCGGGAATGTGATGCTTCAGACGAAAGCCTTGTGTCGACCTTGTCGGCAACAATGACGGCGACACCTATGGGCCACATTTTTTCCTCGAAGGTGTCATCGAGAAGCTTCCATCTTTGTTCCATGGTATGGTCCGGGCAAAAGCCTTAGATCCATATTGGATCCAACGAAAAGATGCCATCAATGTCATTTTCCCCTTGGGGTGTCGTCTTCGAGACGTTGATTTGCGGTCGGTCGTTAGGGGTCCCAATTGGTTTGCTGGCACTTCTTGAGGCGTCTAGGGTGCCTTGGTCATCCTGGTGTTGTTGGTCGACCTCCTCTCATGAGTGCTCGTGACGTTGGTGATGTCTCAAAGTTCAGTGACCTTCGATCGCACTTGAGGTTTCGTTGCCTTGCATAGGGCTCTAGTTCACTATTTGTGATGGTGGCCATGGGGTGGCCAAGAGGAGGTGCAGGGGCTGTCTCGGCGGATCATTGCCTCTCTTTGTCACAACGTGGCTAGGTGGTGGGAAGCCCTTCGACAATGGATGTGACACTCTCCCATGTCTTGAAGGTGAAAAGTGATCCCAGGGCTAGACAATGACTTCTTCTCTACGTCTTCTCGGTGTCAGATTTCCTTTCCACTGATACAACTATGCTAGTTTCTGCTTCTTCTCGGTCTGATCTAATGGTGATGGGTGCTAAGCTCTTGGTGGTGGCTGTTTGTTGTAGCTTGTTTCTAGTTCTCATTTCAGTTCTCTTCCTTTGCTTCCATGTTCCTTCTTGTGTGTCATGTGCTACGTCCTGTAGCCGTCGTGTGCCTTTGCCCGCCGTAGCAGCTTAAGAAAAATGCACGCGACTAAATCATAAGCTGCGCTAATGATCTACTCCCTTCGTCCTGAAATGTAAGACATTTATACCCTAATTGCGGAATAAGGAAAAGCGAAGCCAGACATGAAGCCCAATCTTTACTCGTGAGGGGAGGGGAGAAATAAAGAACGCAAATCTCACTGCTCGGCGAGGAATAGGAGGAAGTGGTTGGTGGCATCTTCGCCACAGAAGGACTCACACTGTCTCGACCCCCGCGGACGGCTTCCTTCGCCATGCCTTCGTCAATCCGGTAGTTATGATCTTTGTGGATGCACATGTCAATGCGGCACCAGATGTTAGCAGCCCTGTAGCCGCTGTCCCTGAAGAAAGAGCGCCAAGCCCTATAGTTGATCCAGCGGTTGCCGGCAACAGCGATCCAGAGCGCGTCATGGACCAGAGGCCCAAGTCTACACGGGCCAAGAGACCACCCCAGTGGCTTGCTAGCCCAAACCGGGCCCATTAAGCGGGTGTAATAGTATATAAACCAATCCTGGTTACTTGTGGAGTTTGGCTAGGATTTGGAAGGCTGCGGCCGTGGCTCGGTTGTAACGGATAGAGGTGCGGGTGGCTGGGAGGAATCCTCATCCGAAAATCAAATCCCTTAGCTCGAATCCCCATGAAATTCTCAGATCCATGGCTTAGTAAGAGAGAACCTCTCATCTGGTAATCAGAGCCTTCGTCCTGGAGCTGCCCCCTCACTGCTACCCGACGCATCTCGGCGACTGGCGGCGACGTCAAGCGATGGAAGGGCTGAGCGACGAGGGCCGCTTCGTCTATGAGCTCCTTTGCCATGAATTCGCCAATGACTTGGATGAGAAGCTTCGAACACATGGTGAGTCGCTTCTCAAATCAATGAGCAAGATGATGGAGAGGAAAAATACGATGCTCGATGGGCTGATGTCGGCAAGGGCCGACGGCATCCGGGAAGAGCTCGCCATCGACCTCGAGCAGATCAGATCCGACCTGTACAAGATGGAGTCTCAAGAGCACGACCCCAAGTTCGACACCCCCACGTATTCGCGCAACGCTGGGCTGGGTCATGGTGCTACCGCGACCAGCGCCCTTGGCTTCGACAATGAACACCAAGGGAAGGCGCATAACATTTATGTCCCTCCTCCGGTTAGAGGTGCGCGCGATTCTGGTTTCTCCCCTAGAAATTTTTCTCCTCGGGATTATCCGTCAGTTGATACTGCTGAGCACAATTCGTTTTCCCTGCATTTGGAACTTCCCAAATTTGATGGAACAAATCCGCGACTATGGCAAAATTGTTGCGAGGATCAATTCAAACTCTGGGGCACGCCCGCTAGCCGTTGGCTTTCCTTGGCAACTGCTCAGTTCGAGGGGGCCGCAGCGTGTTGGCTTGAGTCGATTCAGAGGCGTATGCCTAACTCCAGCTGGACTGAATTTTGTGAAGCTCTGCAGAATCATTTTGGCCGAAATCAGCATCAAATTCTGCTCAGAAGGTTGTTCAGGATTGCTCAGACTACTACAGTTAAAGACTATGTTGAACGGTTTGCTGAATTGTATGATCAGCTGACAGCATATGAAGAAGCGCCAAATTCCTTGCACTACATCACTCGATTTCTAGATGGGCTAAAACCTGGAGTTCGAATGGTTGTGGCCCTGCAGAAACCCAAAGATCTCGATGCACCTTATGAGTTAGCTCTGCTCCATGAGGAGCTGGGAGAAGTGTACAATCCAACCAATTTTGCAGCTACTAGGAGAACAGCACCTTCCACAAGTATCACGAACTCCAAGCCATCGAAACCTGACGAAAGGAAGGCGGAATCTGTTAGTAGTACAAGCCAAGATGATAAATGGATAGCTCTAAGAAACTATCAGAAATCTAAGGGTTTATGCTTTGTGTGTGGAGAAAAGTGGGCCAAAGACCATGTGTGCAAATCCACTGTCTAATTGCATTTCGTCCAAGAATTGATTGATCGGTTACAAACTCAGTCAGTTGAAAGTTCAGACTCTGACAGTGAACAGCAAACCCAGTCTTCAGTCTATTCTATCAGGTTATCTGCTGCTGCAATGGGGAAGGAACCTGAAGCTCCTGTACTTCATTTGGAGATTGAACTACAAGGGCACAAACTCCAGTTTCTGGTCGACTCCGGCAGCACCCATTCTTTCCTGGATGCATAGTACAAGTACTTAGAAGGGGTTAGCTCAATCAAAGCTCTCACTGTCACAGTAGCTGGAGGTACAACAATATAGTGCCAGCAACAAATTGAGGAATGATTCTGGAAATGCAATGGAACCACATTTTCTTCTGATTTCAAGCTGTTGCCCTTACATACTTATGATGGAATTTTAGGGATGGATTGGCTTGCCCAAGATATCCCCATGTACATCGATTGGGTGCTAAAATGGCTCTCCTTCACTAAGGCAGGACAAATAGTTACCTTGCATGAGTTTGGAGCTGAGGACTGCACCTACACCTGTATAGCCATTTCTGCAGTGCAAATGGATGAGCACGATGAAATCCCTCTAGAAATTCAATCTATTTTAGATGCATTTGCTGATGGTTTTGAAACTCCTACCCAATTACCTCCCAGGAGAAGTTGTGACCACAAAATTCCTCTAATTCCAGGGGCTAGGCCAGTTGCGGTGAGACCATATAGAGTAGTTCCTCAATTAAAGGATGAGCTTGAAAAACAAATTGCATAGTTACTGAAGTCAGGTATAATCAGACCTAGTAGGAGTCCTTTTTCATCTCCTGTGTTTCTAGTAAAGAAAAAAAAGGAGAATGGAGGCTAGTGGTCGATTACAGGATGTTAAATGCTATCACCATTAAATGGAAATTTCCAGTGCCAGTGATTGATGAACTTCTAGATGAACTTGCTGGTGCTGCTTGCTTCACTAAGTTAGACCTTAGAGCAGGCTACCATCAAATCAGGTTAGCTGCTGGGGAGGAGTATAAGACTCCTTTCCAAACTCACCTAGGCCATTATGAGTTCTTGGTGGTGGCCATGGGTCTCAGTGAAGCTCCAGGCACTTTCCAAGGAGCAATGAACACCACACTTTCTCCAGTTAACAGGAAAAATGCTTTGGTTTTCTTTGATGATATATTGATTTTCAGCAAGTCATATCAGGAGCATTTGGAACATGTTAGAGAAGTGTTGGCCCTACTCAGAGCTGATCAGTGGAAGGTAAAAATGTCCAAATGTGCTTTTGCTCAACAACAAATTGGGTATTTAGGCCACACCATCAGTTCTGCAGGAGTCTCTACTAATTCTAGCAAAATTTAGACAGTGGAACAGTGGCCTACCCCAACCAATGTCAAGGAAGTGAGAGGGTTCCTTGGACTGAGTGGTTATTACAGGAGGTTCATAAAGCATTATGGTCTGATCAGTAAACCTCTCACTAAGCTGCTTAAGAAGGGAGTGCCATTTGCCTGGACTACAGTGACTGAAACTGCATTCACAACTCTCAAGAAGGCCTTGGTGGAAGCCCCAGTATTGGCTCTGCCACAATTTGACAAACCTTTTGTCATTGAAACTGATGCTTGTGATTCAGGAATTGATGTTGTACTCATGCAAGAAGGTCATCCTCTAGCTTATGTTAGCAAAGCATTGGGCCCCAAGAATAGGGCCCTCTTAGTTTATGAAAATGAGTACCTAGCTATTTTGCTAGCTATGGACCAGTGGAGACCATACCTACAGTTCCAGCAGTTCACCATCAGAACTGATCAGAAGAGTTTAATACATTTGCAAGACCAAAAGTTACACACTGTGTGGCAACAAAAATCTCTCACCAAACTTATGGGTTTGAACTATACTATAGTCTACAAAAAGGGAGTGGAAAATTCTGCTGCTGATGCACTATCTAGAAGACCATCCCACTCCTAGGTTTTCCACATATCTAAATCACAACCTGTGTGGATGGAAGAAATTGTGGCCAGTTACTCTCAAGATAACAAGGCTAAGGAGTTATTGTAAGAGCTTGCTGTCAAACCATCTGCTAATTCTCAGTATCAATTAGTGCAAGGATTGCTGAGGTACAAGGGTTGCATCTGGATTGGTACCAATTTGGAAATACAGGAAAAAATCTTCTCTGCCTTTCATGATAGCCCTCTAGGAGGACACTCTGGGTTCCCTGTCACATACCATCGAATCCATTCCTTATTCAGATGGACAGGCATGAAGAAGTTTATTAAGGACAGGGTGCAATCTTGGTCAGTCTGTCAGCAAGCTAAACCTGAATGAGTTAAGTATCCAGGGTTGCTTTCTCCTTTACCAGTTCCAAACAAAACCAGGGGAACTGTGACCATGAATTTTATTACTGGATTACCTCCTTCCTGTCCGTTTGATTGCATCTTTGTGGTCATTGACAAGTTTACAAAATATGGCCATTTCATGGCCCTCAAACACCCCTTCTCTGCACAGAAAGTTGTTGAAGTGTTCTCAGACAATATTTACAAATTGCATGGAATGCCAGAGTACATTGTATCGGACAAAGATCCTGTGTTTACTAGCAATTTTTTCAAGCCCTGGTTCACATGACTGGAACTTAGCTTAACATGAGTACTACATATCACCCTGCAACTGATGGTCAGACTGAGAGAGTCAACCAGCAAATTG